AATTTTTTAATTCTGTACAAATACCATTAAAAAAAATTAAAATATTATTATTGCATTGTATTTATAATGATATGTAATAAAGTTCCACTATTTCAAATGTTTACGAAAAAAGTACATTCATATAATACTATAGACATTATAATAAATTGTAAGTTGTAACATTATAAATTATTTAATAATATGTCAATAATGTCGTTATGCCATTCTAGTAGATGATGGTATACTATGGTAGCATGTGGCAGTTTGGGCTGTGATGAGGTAAGTGAGGGCGGAGCCTCACCTAAGAATATTATAACCTGGTAATTAGTTTTAATACAAATTGTTTTATTATTATATTATGAAAAGTAGAGAAAATATTGTAGTACCTAAGTCAAATTACATTTTAGAATCAAAAACAAAATCTACATTTTTTTTTAACAAATTGAAATATTTAACTTTAAAAATTTGAAAATGTTTCAAAGTTTTCGATTTTTTCTGTTTGGTATTCTTTATAATTTGTATAGATACTATTTGTGAATTTATCATTTGTAAATAAAATAAAATAAAACCAATTTTACTTAATATATTTTAATTTTAATTTGACTCAAATGAATGTAATACATTGGACAGGCGACTATTTTAAATTAGCGCCTAAATATGTTTAACCAGTGGTTTAGCCAGGATTTTCTTTGGGGTTGACCGATAATGTGTTTACACAAAGTTGGTTTAACTAGGATCTAACATAAGTTTAGCATATTGTTGCAGAGGTTTTATTTCAGGTTTCAGTACAGCCGTACAGGCTCAACAAATTTTTATTTGCATTTTGCTGTAACATTCATAGAAACAGTCCCCCCCCACCATTAGCTACGCCAATGTGTTTAACTCAGTATCTTTAGACAGTGATCTTATGATAAAAATTGAAGAAGATTTCACTGCAGTAAATGTCAAGTAAAGTTAACGCATTAAACGTCCTGACTGGAACCAACCGTTCGTATTGCGATGATGACACCGACGAAATTCATTACGAATTATCTATTCGTATAGCAGCTAGGTCAGCTGTCAGGTAATATTAGGTACCTAGTACATTAATGAATAATAATGTGACACTGGTCCCATATTTAGGTCGGTTGGGATTAGTAATAATAATTGCTCCCTATGGTACTTCTCAAGAAGCGGAAAAAGGTTTGTAAATTTATTAGTAGTATTCAGTGGAATTTATTCTTTGCCCACCGATGAGATGATAACAAAAACAGTATTCAATTTGTAAAATAGTTTTAATAATTTTTTTCAATAGTTCATTGTTCCAAAAATTTAATTCTATAGAAAAAAATATTGGCGTTAACATATTTTGATTTTGATTATTGCGTTATTTAGGTGTACCTTGGACGTTATGAAATAATTAACTTTTAGAGTCTCAATGAATGCAAATATGCAATATTTTGATTTTGTTAACATTGTAAAATATTAATACTAAAATGATAAATGTTTTTATAACAAAGATTTTAAGTCTCAATCATTCGGAAATTCTATATTGGGGAAAAAAACCCAAAATATAATATTTTTATCTATGAGAATGTCTATGAATTTGTATCTCATTGGCACAAATGTACAATGAATCATATCTCTTTTGGATTTCCAAAACAATTTGAACGACGAAATACTGGCTACATATTATACATTCGCGTTCAAATACTGTTAGAAACATAATAATAAATATATTAGAATATAACTTGCATCTCTCTATCCTACTTCAAAAAATGTAACCGTTAAATTGAACAACAATGATTAGTTGTTTATAATAATGAGAAGTTGTGAGATTTCGTACAAACAAATTATCAGTGGTACACAGAATACAAAATAAGAACTATAATTTAATGCAATATCTTAGAAACTGACCATTTATAGTCTGTAGGTGAAACCCTAAAAATGTCGTTGATTGTAAATAAAACTGGCAACTGGCAGATGAATTATATTCAATAAAAGACTGATGTAGACCAACAATTAGTTATTGAAGGGGGTATGTCTTTACTACATCATAATTCAATTTAAGGATAAACCCGGAAATATTTGAGTACTAACTTCGAAAAAAACGGTACAAAAAATCAGTAACTTACTACTAAAAAATGGCTCATTTGGAGTTCCAAAACCTTGAGTTGGATATATTCATAAATACATATAATTTTTAATTTATTAGGTTAAGTGAAACTAATTGGAAGTATCAAGTAGTGATTTTCCGTCTTTGTCTATCATGGTATGTGCAGCATAGGAAATTAGACATGTTATTATTATTCAAACGAACCAATTAATGTTATAGAGAAGCAATACTCGTACAAATGTGAAAACAGATTTTAACTTATTGTTATGTATTCTTGAAGAAGAATATCTCCCATTTTAGATTTTATTCACCTAAATTATAAAAAATCGTTACAAAAAGTGGAAATTAAAAATTATCAAATTTTCAAAATTCAATTTCTGAATAATGTAAAATCAAAAATGTGGAAAGTCTATAGCATGAAAACTTTACAACGAACTCAAATATATTTTCAGAGCTCTTATAACTTACATAGATCAATATATACGCGCGTTAGTAACAGAGTAAAGAATAAGTCAACATTTCTATGTTGCGTTAGTGTTAGAACCTTAGAAATATATAGAAAATCACCGCTCTCAATACCCTTAATATGTTATAAATTATTATAATATAAATTTTGGGCTAAAAGAGTTGATATTTTTGAATGTCACAAGATTAATCAAATTATATTTACCTACTCATCAGAACTTTATCAATAAAATCCGTAATAAATCTATAAAGGAATTATCTCTTACAAATGTTGTCAACATAATGTCGTTCGAGGTTTAAGGGGAATGATCTATTCTATTGCCCTCTTATAATGATTGCTAATGTAAAATTGTAAAGACGTAAAGTGAATCAAATAGAGTACCTATATACATTATGCATGTAGGTAATCTATAGTGCGTACTGTAAATTAGATGTCAGTATGGCTTTTATCGTTCTTGGATCAATAATGGAATTGTATTTAGAAACATTTCGTTTCTCCTATAGCTAATATACCTGTATAATATATTAATATTATATAAATTACAGGTAATATAAACTAGATCAAGGTAAGAACTTAAGAATTATTATACACAATGTTTTTTTGTTATTTTTATTATTGGTAAAAGACCCTCCACAACATAAGCAATTAGGATTTATAATGATTTAATTATTTACATATATTATTGTCTGCTTATTCTAATAATTATTCTAATGGTTTAAATTTTAGTTTAAAGTACGACGTTTGTGATGAATTCGGTGATATTGGATATTGACCGAGGATGATTGTAAAGTATTTCAAATTTAAACTAATGATTCAGGCTGGTTGGAACTTGTTCTGATGCGATATATTCGGCATTTTGCAGTGAAAATGTGTTTGATGTTCCATATACATATACACTATAGTCTATATTATTATGAGCATAAATTAATTAAGTTTTACATTTTCACATAATTTATGATAATATATTGTACTATTATTCATTTAAAATAAAATTTACATAAAAAAAATTAATAATGTAAATCGTATAAACTAAAAATTAACATTAATTAAAGGTACTTACAATTATTTTGATAATCGTTAAATCGTACTTACCTTATTGTTTAGATAGTAGAAAAGCAGGTATAATACAAGTAGGCAGATATCTGATAGATACGTTATACGTAGGTACAATAATATTATATAATTTAATAATAACTATTATTGAAGACATGGCCTTTTTCTGCCATCTAGGAATATAAGTTCGACTTCTGTTCCCGTCAAAGCGTACCTATTTCTTTGAAATACATTACAAACTTACAAATATTGTTTTGGGAACCACGTAATCGGTAGAGTATCATAAGTTATTTCTGAAAGGAGTAAAGATTCTTTTTTTTTACAGATTAGTGTAATAGTGTCTGCTTATATTCTGATTACATAACCTGCAGGTTGCAGTGTAACAAACGCGGAACATGGCAAATTTATACTCAGCAGATGACGTTTAATTCCTTTAGTTTAAAAATTAGAATGAATCAATCTAATCCTGTGAATTCGTTTTTTTACGAAAATTCAATTTTTGAGTGAGTTATGAGCATTTTTAATTCACGCCATATTATATATGCTGCGCAATATTTTGAAAACACCAACATGGGAACACAGATAATGTTCTTACCATAAAGTTTCATAATAATTCGATTAACTCTAATTTTTAAACTAACGGAATTAAACGTGATCTGCTGAGTGTATATTATTTTGCTATGTTACGCACTTGTAAGACGGAGACAACACATGCGGGTGTGGCGTCCTCTTAAACCAATAAATTCTTTATAGCCTTATAGGTGTAGGTACGTACATCTAATTTCAATAAAAAATAATATTTTGAGGTGTTACATTAACATATTATAGACAATTGCTTAGCGTATTAAATTCGACGTGTTTTCAGTTCTTACTTCTTGTACTACAATGTTCGGGCATCATATTCGGGTTTCGAACTTCCCAAAGAAACGACAAGATTCTGTGTGACCGGAAGGCGGATAGTGGTTGTAACATGTTCAAAAATCATATCACGACAATAGGTACATTTTTTATAGGCGCCTTCTACCAGCTAACTACATAATTTTAAGTGGACATCGCGCTTGTTTTATGTATAATATGTTATGAACCTACCAACCTTACCTATATGTATAAATGTATCTAACTAAACTTCCGTGAGATGGAAATTCACACATACGAGCAGTTAATATTCTTATGCATTTACCTATTCACCCATTGTCTGTTAAATTGTAATTAGTCACTACTAAGTAGGTACGTTTTTATTATTATGGAGGTAAAAAAAAATGTACGATTATGATCGAAATAATGTAAACCATAAACCTAATACACGATGCCCACACTGGTTGGTGTTATCATATTGAGTTCGCCACTCGTTGTTCTTTTACAGTTTTTCCCGCCAAAATATCGAAAACAGCGATAACAATATAAGATAACTAAAGTCGAATCATTATTCATTAATATTCGATATTTGCATTGTTCAATTATTGTTTTACTTCGCTAGACCTCCTCAACTTGCGTCTCACCGCCTTGCACCCTTACAAGTTCCTGTGCTATTACCGACTGACGACAATTTAAATAACTCATTAATGCTTAGTACACACTATCCGCGTATGTAGTATGTGTATTGAACTGGTGTCAACATTTCAGAATTACTGATTAACAACAATATCGGGTTTCGATCTATCAAGCTATAACTTTCAATCCAGAATTATGGTAAGCATACCTATTAGCATTGAGTATATAATATATATATACTTAATGATATTAGTATACATACAGTCAATATTATGTTACTGTGTACGTCACAAGGTGGTTGAACAAATCGTTTTCGATTGACGTGTGGTGTTCTAATTTTTCTCTGCAACTAAGGAAATTTGATTCATCTAGATATTTGAATGCCATATGAGATTTATTGCAAACATGGTCATTCTTTTCTCCACAATAGGTATACTTCATGATATCATATTATAACAATTATAAATTCTATCATAGACATATACCTAGGTGATTATTTGTGTTGCATGTGTAATATGAGTTGTTCTATTATACTAATCGCTTAATTTATTAAATCAAACTATGATAATTGATTAGACATTGTTTAAATATTTGTGTTATGACCCTGACATGATCACTATTATTGACAGATACCCTCTGCAATATTGTGATTAATGAGGACCGTATTTTTATACAAATGCATATTCTTCTACAATTCACTAAGAACTATTTTGATGCAAAATGTCGATGTTTTGTATATTCTCAAGTTACATTTTGTTTGCCTATTTGAGTAACAATTACTATACATTTTATTTATCTTAATAATTCTATGAAAGTTGCATTTTTTATGAATAATTAATGATTTTTTGCTCTGTTTCACAAAATGTATTTTCAAAATATAAATCTATGCCATGTGACGATCGCAGAAATTTCAAATTAGAAACTACAAAATCACATTTTATAACTTCATGTTGGCACTTGTTCCAAAATTAATATTAAAGTATACTGATATTTAAATTTTTTTTTTCTCATAATATATTTTGTAAATTTTTTAAGATCTGTTTTTTTAACACAATGAAGAATTTAAATTGCATATTTTTGAATTGTTGAAAGCATAAATATATGCATATTTAGGGACTTGTCGTGTATTATTCATCAACTAAAGGCTGAAAAAACTAGTTATTGGCTCTAATTTGTACTGACCACTTGAAGAATAAGTATACTGACATATTATTAGTAATACTGATCATGTGAGTGCCATATTATGATCAGTATTGTTCCAGAACCTTCTATAAAATTCCAATCAAAATATGTGTTCATCTTAATGATAAAAAGTTGTTTCATAGGCAAATATTGTCTTAACTTAAGTTGTTATAAAGTAATTTATCCTGGTATACTTAGGTATAATTTAAGATTTATTAAAAGAACACCACATTCAAATTTTATAATTGTTATTTTGGTTGTAGAAGTGTGTACTCACAAATTTTGATCATGTTAAGTTTTCATAATTTCAATATTTGAGTAATTTACCTATTTATTAGATTTTACCTTTAAGAAGACGCTATACCCGTAGTGTTGTCCCTGTCTTACAAGAGCATAACATATACAATTTTATGTTCAGTAGATCACGTTCAGCTCTGTTGGTTTAAAAATTAGAGTGAATTGACCTCTTATTAAAATTAAAGATAAGATTATTATCGATGGCATCTCATGGGCTTTTTATTATATTTTAATTTTAAAGAGAGTTATGAGTATTTTAAAATATACAAAAAATGTACAATTTTAAAATACTCATAACTCTCTTCAATCTCAATACTAGATCACTAATATTGAAATCAATAAAAAAAAGTTAATGACACAAATTATAAATATATAAAAATTTCAATTTTATTTAAATCTTATTTTATACTTACATTTGCATTTAATTTTTAGAAATCATCAAGTAATAATAAGTCAAATATAGATGATATAAGCAGAGAAACTCAACGGCTGGTTAGCGATAGTCATGTGCATTTACCTTATCACAAACCAAAACAAAAGTCATTGAAAGACTTTCTTAACAGACAGAAACAAACCACTGAGTATCAAGCATCTTTAACAGGTTCCAAAAAATTACTACACAAAGCATGGCAAGTAAAATTAAAAATATTTAGTTAAATAAATAATAAATACTTAGGCATAAAATGTAATTTCAATATTTTGTATAAAGTATTTAGAAAAATGTATGTCCATTTTTTCTAGAATATATTATGTATCCTTTAATAAGGTGTTGAGATATACATTTTTAAACTATTTTCCACCATGGAAAGTTTTATATATAAAATGAAGGGTGGATTTGATTGAGTGAGCATAGCAGCTATATGTTTTAAAGTTTGATCATTAAGTAGAACTATCAACATTTTAATCGTTGTAAGCTATTTCAAAATGTATTTTTTAATTATTATTACCTGACTGTATATTTGACTATGATATTAATGTCATGATACATAATTGTGATTTGTGAACATTTTACACAGCTAACAATCACTATTTTAGGATAAATTAAATATTTAAAAATTTCTATGTGTAAATGACCATTTATTAATTTCTGAGGTTATTTAAATCATTGATTATTATCAGATATTAGTTTTAACTTTTATATTAGATGTGAGGCTAGAGTTAGAAACATTACTAAGTAATTTTAACATTAAATATAATAATATTTACATGTCTCTAACCTATAAGTTAGTAATAACTAACATAATACACAATACGCATAATATAATGTAATGAGTCATGTATTTTCTTATTCTTCGTTCATTTATTTATGTATATTAATTTAGGGAATTGATAGAAAATAAAGAACAGACTGTTGAAAAATTTTACAATGAAGAGAGTGTTCAAGAAGAAAATAATGAAGAAGTATCTTTGGATAATAATCAAGCGGAAAAAAAATTTTCTTTAAATGATAAAAACTACGATAAAGGTTTGAAATAAAATTGAATTATGTGTAGGTTATACTTATTAAAATAATATAATGTAATCATTTGGTAAATTTAATGAGCCATTTAAATTAAAACCCCCAAAATTATCTATAAAATAATCTACATACTTTCTACTTTCTAAAAATTTTAATGTGCTATGTTAATATTTGTTGTTACATAGATATTTCACTTAATGAGAATCACAATAAAAGTTTATATGAATTTAATGACGATGAAGAAAACTATGACACTAACTCAATTTTAGCAAGTGAATCATCGTCTGAAGATGAAGCAATTGATGATGATGAAGATGAAGATAATTCTAGGCAAGGGGAGAATTTATGTCCAGAAGAACCTATCACTGAAGATGAAACAGAGGTTTGTATAATTATGTTTCTTTCTTTATTCAATATTAATTTTTTAATTTAATTTATTTATTATATTAATTTTTATTGATTTCAGAAAGGTAATGACAACTTAGAACATAATTAGAATCTAACAATGAAGTTCATTTTTTTAATTTTAATAATATTATAGACACTGATGACGAATTAAAAATAAATAAAGTTAAAACTTTCATCGATGATGAAGCAGAGTTGTCTGAATTAGATGGTAGTTCAGATGATGAAGACAATCGGCCTAATAATTTTCTTGATGAATCAGGAGATGAAGGTACCTAATAAAAATATCTTATGAAAAATGAAAATTTTTAATAATTTTACTGTTTTGTAAAATATTATTTTATTTTTTTAGACTGTGATATAGAATTTTCTAAGAAAAAGAAACGTAGATTAGTTTTGTTATCAGAAAGCAGTGATGATGACATGAACAGTAGAGATGAAAATCATTCAAACACAGAAATTAAATTATCACCAAATAATGTATCACCTTTATTTAATAATTCTGAAACTATTGTTTCTACACAGCAATTGATGGGTTTTTGTTCTGGACAATTCCAATCCCAACTATTGGAGGCCAAGGTTTTACATACAACTTATATTTTTTAATGTCACTAGATATATATGTATATATTGTGTTTATAGGAAGATGATAATCAAGAAGTAGATGATTTTGAAGATAATTTTGATTCTGAAGTGTATGTCAAATATTTTTGACTTATTTTTTAAGTATAATATGTGACTAATATTTATTGTTTTAGTACACAAAATTACGCTGATAGTATTACAAATGAAGATGATGATGATGTGTCTCTTAAACTAGTTTCAGCTAAAGACTTTTTTGATTCTGAAGCGTAAGTTAAATATTTATGACTTATTTTTTAGATATAATATGTGAGTAATATTTATTGCCTTAGTTCACAAAACGATGCTGACAGTATTACAAACGGAGATGATGTTGATGATGATATGTCTCACAAACTAGTTTCAGCCAAAGACTTATTTAATGATGATGCGTAAGTTAAATATTTATGACTTTTTTTTTTAAATATAATATGTGAGTAATTTATTGTTATAGTTCACAAAATTACCCTAACAGTATTGCAAATAGAGATGATGCTGATGATGATAATGTATCTCTCAAACTAGTTTCGGCTAAAGATTTTTTTGATGATGAAGTGTAGGTTGAATATTTATGACTTATTTTTTAAATTTAATATGTGAGTAATATTTTTTGTTCTAGTTCACAAAATGACCATAACAGTATTACAAATGAAGATGATGCTGATGATGATAATGTGTCACTCAAGCTAGTTTCAGCGAAAGATTATTTTGATGATGAAGCAGAATTATCTGAATCAGACTGGAGTTCTGATGATGAAGATAGATTAGTTGGTTTAAATGACAAATTAGAAGAAGAAGAAGGTGACAAAGATAAGCTAGATGAAAATATTGTCAAAGATGGATTAGACAAGATATATATGTATGATTATACATTTATTTGTAATAATTTGGTTTAAATTAATGTTTTTAAACTAAATTTAGGCGCCAACTTTTGGACGATGATAAGCAGCAAGTCACTGCGCTCAAAGAAATGCTTCTTGAAGATGGTGAATTATATTCAGAATCCAACCGAAAAAGAAAATTTCAATGGGACGATGCTGGTTAGATTTTAATTTATTTATACTTTTTCTTTAGGCATAATATCTATGTTTCCTGTACAGATCAAAGTGATGTTGCTCTAAAGAGACCATTATTCTCAGACAATGAAGATGATAATGAAGATGATGTATTAAGTGATGATGATAAGACAGAACAGTGGAGACATGAACGTTTCAAGCGTGAATCTTATTTATCAGAAGTAACAATTCAATATATATATCTAATTATTAAAATATATATATTTACAGAATGTATCACGATGATCTGATATATTAAAATGCATGTTAAATGTAAAATCGTTAGATCCCCCTTGTACACCTTTTATATCTGTACAGTACAGTTTATCTGTTGTACAGGATAAGACATTCGGTTGTTGTTTCTTGTGCGTATGTTCATTATCGCAGATCACATCAGGATTTTGGTAATGGCTCTGATATGTTCAAAACACTGCTTTGATAATTTGTAGTGGCTGTAAGAGAATAAATTTCTTAGTAGTTGTATCCCTACTTTTAGATCACCTTCTCAAATATCTCAATTTGAATATAATATGAACCTTTTTTTTCTTGGTTGCTAAAAAAACACTTTCAAAAAAAATTATTTTTTTCTAAGATCCACAGTTGTCAAATTAGAATCAGATTTTTCAACCAATGTAAACACCTATTATTGGGATATGATCAACGAATTGCAAGATTGTGAGTCACAATCAGATTGTGAATCATTATCATTAATTACCCTGAATCTAATAATGGTGCCGATACCTAAACATATTTGTAAAAAAAATATGCCATATTCTACTAACTATAATATATATATAGTAGTATATTATGTAACTAACATGTGAGCACTGAGCTAAACCGTTTAACTACCTATAAGAGTTTAAAAATAAGATATTACTCCCTAAGTCTCAAGGAATATATTGGTCGTCTACCTTTTTATTGAAAATGGTCTATAGTAGTTTTTCAATCTATTAACTTTGGATAAATCAATATCTATTTTTAGCTGTATAACTAGGCTTTGCCCTAGAAAAAACAATGAACTATAATGCTATATTGATTACAGCTATATCTCTGATATGAAAATGTAATACATGCGCTTACCTCATTGGCCCGATACTATTATAATCTGTAAGCTGTTTAAAAACAAAAATTTTGATTGTAAATCTTAAAACCTTTCTGAAATTTGTATTTATAGTTAGAATTTATACTTAAATTATCTTAAATTATTGTTAGCTTTGTTTCTTTTTTTAAACTTTCATTCAATGTTTATCCATTATCAGAATCTGTACTGTAATTTGTGTAATTAATAATATTTATTTACTTGTAAAACAGTTGTACACTTACATATATTTATCTTTTTTTTCCCAGAAAAATAAATATTCTGATGAGGATGAAAGTAATGAAGATGAAGAATCAAGTAATATTTTACAAACATCTGTATCAGTTGTGAAAAAAACCCACGTTGTATGTTTTATATACTTATACCCGGTTTCATATCTCCATACAAGATAGGCCATCATAATTTCGAGTTTTTCAACATTATTTAGTAACATGGCCCATCTTGTATAGAAACAAATGAATGAATGAATAATATATTTATTTCAATTTTAATATCATAGGTGAAGTATACAAATGGTAAAAGTAAGCTAATATCAAAAATATCTGATAGTGAAAATAAAAATGAATCAACACAGTTAAATGAAATTATTGATGAAACTGATCCAAATAGTCAAACTTTAAGTACAAAGTCAACTGATATGACTAAAATTAATAAAATAACAACTAATGATTATGCTGACCTCCAAGTTCTTAACGTAATCACATCAAAAGTAAGATTTGTTCATTAATAATATATAATGTTTAAAACATAAAATATTGCAGTTTAACAATATAATATACATTTTCTGTTACATATATATATTAGTGTCAGTACTTGTATTCTACGAATCATTGATATTTTTCAGCATAATAAATGTATAAAAGGATCATTCATGAAACGTACTGGTGACAAGTTGACTAATACATTGTTGTTTGTTAATAAAAACATAACTAATAATGATGGAACAAACTCAAAAAAGTATGAAGAAAAAAAAGAAATGAAGTCATTAAGTACAATCACAGCCACTGCTACCAGTAATCCATTTGCATATTTGATGAGAAATGACAAGAAAAATGAAGTTGGTGTTGATTTAATGGTCCGTATTATTTATTTAGTGTACTTTAGTAATTTAAATTCTGGAGTGTTATTGTTTTCCATAGTGGAATCTATACCTACAATTAACTTATCAGTTATCACATAGTATTTCCTAAGTTCATATATTTTATTATTTAGGTGAAGGTAACTAACTTTTAGTGATGGGCAAAAATTTAAAATAATTTGAGACTTTATCAAAATATTATGAGATATTTTTGAAATCTATATTGTTTTATCATTTTATTGTAAGCCTTAGCTCAGGGACCTTCAACCTTTTTATGCAGTGGGCCACATATTATTTTATTCAAATCTCAAGGGCCACATTTGTAGTAAAAAAATTCAGTTTCATTTTAAAATTTGTATGATTAAATTTTAAATTTAAAACTATTATTATTATTAAAACATACATAGTTTATCACATTATACTTAAATTATTATAATTATTTGACCATTTTTCATGAAAAACATCATTTTTATCTGAGATTTTATATTTTTTTACTCACTGATGTTAAATGTATTATATAAATATTACAAAGAAAATGTGTAAATTTGACTTTAACACATAAACGAGTATCATGCTTGTTCCAGGATCGATAAGCAACTGACAAGGAACAAGTCAATATTAATATGTAGATACCATTTAATTTATTTCACATATTTCCTAATTTTTTCGATAGCTATAGATTATAGCTGTTCCAATTTTATCGAAAAGAAAAGATTTATGCTATATTTCAAATGTGATTGCAAACCTCAAATAATGACAAGGTGGACCACGAGTGGAAGACCCCCTGTCCTAGCTAATTGTTTTAATAAATTGTGTTATACTGTGCAATAAATAATAATATCTGTTGACCGATTTTTTTTTGTATCTTCAATTAGCTATGTAAAGTTAATTTTTGAATTATTATTGTTTATTAATCCAATATTTATATATTTATGTGAAGTAGTAAGTACTAAGTTGGTAATATTTTAAACGTATATTTTTGATACAATATCAATGTTGACATGTTGTACAACTTTTGATATCTTTGTACAGTATCAGAAAAATCGGAATTATATCAATTCACAAAATTATTTTGTTGCCCATCACTATAGTAACTATTATTATTTTATGAAGAAAGCCACCAATAGGTAACCACTCTGCTGTGCAGTGGGTCATGAGCTTACCTTGTTATTGAGTAGGTCACTATAATAGTTGTGCTAAATAGAAATTCAATAATAAATCATTTTATTTGATGAAAAAACTATTCTCAGTAGTGACGGTTTAAGTTTTTAACTTTTTAATAACCGGTTTCCAAACAATTATATTAATAATAATTTTAATACTTTGAAAAATTTCAATTAATAGAAAACTTCAACTTTTAAGCCCCCAATTTTCTACGAGTAACATCACTCAAAGTAGATAATCAGAGCATCAGAAAAAATATCTTCACAAGATAAAAACACACCTACATTGTAAAACAGATGTGTATTAGTATATTATACATATAGCTGTCGAAATTTTAAAAATAATAAACAAATTCGACTATAATTAACAGTTAAGTAAAAAATAACTTTTTTACATTAATAAAAATATTTTTTTACTTTTCAGAAAATAGAGAAAACAGATAATACTATTAATCTTAATAATACATCTATTATTGTTAAAACAACCTCACAGCTTCATCGAGAGAAAAGTCAACAAACAGTCCGACCCATCAAATCAACTAACAGCATATTGAAACAATTTGAATAATTAACTTGTAATTTACATTCATGCTTTCTAACAGTTATAGGTTAAGTTAGTACATTAATCCTAAGTTTTGTATATAATCATGTGAATTTATGTTTTTATTATTTCAAGATAATTTAAAAGTTATTATATTATACCAATATGTTTTACAAAAATTAGTACATTTAATGTACTTAATTTGTAATAATACTTAATGACATAAATAAATTAAAATTATTTATGTTTATAAAATTTAAATTTTGTTGTTTGAAGTTGAAAATATATTGTCAGCCTAAGTAAAACTGTTAAATTTCCACAAAATAGCGGTTTGTTCAGACACAAGTGTAGCAATAATATTTTAAACTGTAAAAATGTCTGCGTGTTTTTTACATAGAACATAATTACCTCACCAATGTATACAATAAAAAAACTGTTTTTAATCAAATATAACAATTATATTGAATATTTTAGCAAAACTACAAATGACAGGGTTTGTCGAATTAACAATATAAACAGTCCTTAAGTACTAAAATATATTGATTTTCATAAGCCTTACTTATTTTAGCTAAACAATTTAATAACAATTAACTGTTACTGATTCCAAAGATGGACTTTTTAACAACAAAACAATTTAACAAACAAAAAATATATCATTTGGAACAGGACTAAACATATCATATGATTGTTATAACAAACATTTATTATTCATACAAGTGCTTCCTTGAACACTAATTTATACCAATGGCCACAGTAACAGCGTTTGGGTTCTCCTGAATACAGCCACATCCATTTGACATGAGACGCGTCTTCTTCACATACACAGCCAATAATTCTTGCTTCAAAGGCAGATGGAACTAAAGTGGGTTTATCACAGGTACTCACGCCACGTTTTATAGCTTTCAAATTGTATGGATCCTATAAAATAAATGTATAGGATATTGATATTATAGGAAATGCATGACATAATAGATCATTTGTAGATATTATTTAACACAACACAATTTACGCTATACAAAAAAATCAAGTTAAAAAAATATGCTTTCATTAAAGAAGGATTTATTTTTTAATTTTAATGACATTTTCTTGAATAAATAAGTAGATAGTGGCATACTAGGGCTCCACAAGTGCTGTTATTCAGATAGATACTTAGATATGAATGTATAAATGTACAATGCACTTCTTCCTGATGTCATTAGCCCCTCATGCCTCAATTACCTTAATTCAACCTAAATAAGTATATTGCCCAAGAATAAAATGTGTTCACTAGTTTAAATTTTATAAAATATCATAAACATATTATTTTAACTGAATTTAATTTAATTTTTAGTTTTATGTTGTTTAGAAAGAAATATAATTCAATTTTTTTTTTAAGAAATAAGATGGCTGCTTTTAAATGTGTAAGAATAGTAATTATAAGTGAAATATAAAAATTATTTTTTAAATTTAATTCAATATATTATCTAAAAAAAGTATACTTGCAATCAACTATTTTTTTTGCATTGATTACATTTTAGTAATTAGGGATAATATATTGGTTAGAACAATAATAATTAAAACATTTTACAATTTAAAACTGTTTACAATATTGCAACACCCCAAACAATTTGAGCTTGTCTTAGGGGAGCAGTTCTTATAAACCAACTATTTATACATAAAGGAAAAAATATTTGCTTAAAGTTTAATTTATATAACTGAATAAAAAATGTACATTTGATAAAAGTTGAATATTTTTTTTAAACTTTCTTCATGTTAAAAAAATGTATGGAGTAAGAAAAATAATAAATTATTTAAAAAAATGTTTAATCAACGAAATGCTTAAATAAACTTACATCATTCCCAGCTAGACGGCAGAGCATTTCTTTTTTTTCAATACCAGTAGCTAAATCCAAAGGATCAGGAAATCCTGAAATAGAAATAGTACCAAAAAACAATAATTGAAGTATTATTTAAACTTTTTTCAAGTGGTTACAGTTGAATATGTTTACTATGCTAAATAAAATAAAATAATATATTTTTTTAGTTATATTATATAATTTTTTAGTTACTTTTATAGTTTAATGAGATAAATATGGAAAGTAAAGATTAAATAAATTTACTTCTCATGGTCATGCATATTACAGATTTATACTTAACATTTTAAATCTAAATATGTATCTCTGAGAGCTGTGTTAATGTCTTTTCTAATTTAATTTATTTATTAGGTTATGTTTCATACATTTTATTTCTATGTCCCCAATATGAAATATATTTATGAATCTCAGATTCAAAATCTACAGTGAATATACCACTAGGTAAGGTTCCCCCAAATGTTTAATTACTCCAGATAACTTCATTGTAATTATATTGAATGATGCCACACATTAATAGGCCAGTCTTCGCCGGCATTCAACAAATCAGTAACACCCTAAAAATATAACTTAATCACAAGCCCTAATATTCCCCCTAAAACAAAATCCACCCACTCATACAGTTATATTCTGTTAAGCATGACAGATTCCTGTTACCCAAAAATTGCATAGAATTTTAAGTCCTTTTGGCACTTGTACAGATGTACCATTGAAATTCAGTGATTGAATATATGAAATATTGCTACAATAGTATCAACCTATTCAACCTTAGTAGCTATTATTATTAAAAGCATTAATATCTTATCTCAACGGTATTGATTACATTTCAGATGACCTTAACATAGTTGTATAGGTACCTACTTCTATAGCTCTATTATAATACAAATTATAATAATAATATATACTTAAGAATTTGATACATTGGATAATATAATGAATCAAATGTTAAGTAATTTTTCTAGGCACAAACTAGTTTTTGGGATATGTTACCTAATATAAATAAATGGTCGTATAAATCAAAAATTTGAAATAATATCGCATTTCATTGATTTTTATAAATAATAGCCATTACATAGTCTGTAAAGAATTCATGAAAAGGCATACCTATTTTGAACACTTCCTAGGATTAATTAGAAATGAAAAATGTGTATTTTTTAGTACTCACCTTCATCATTGACTTTGGTGAATTTCGCGGAAGAGGCAGCGAACATTCTACTTGGACTCCTAAAAATTATCTTTGAGCTCAAGGATAATAGTCTAGAATTCATTTTGTCAGAAATGGAAAAATCTAATTACAAAAGAAAGGACGGGTACGGAGGTAGGTAATAATCGCAATTCAGCGAGTTGTGAAAAAAAATTTCGGAGGTTTATGATGACTGTGAAGAAAAAACTATAAAAATTGAAAAAGCAGGCAACGCGTTATCAGCATTCCATAGAACTGATAGAACAGTCTGGGCACTTTAATCAGCGAGTCCGACGAGAGGACATACGATTGATAAGAATATCACATGTTTCGCCGAGGCGGGTGATTAGAAATTAGAATATTTTATGGAGGTAAATAATATATTGTACTTAAAAACAAATAGATACGTATAATTGTAAAAACGATACCCTTGTCGTATATTATGCCTATTATGGAATTATTTGTAATTAGTAAAATGTGATTAACTCGTTTCATGGTTTCACGTTTGACATACAGATAGCCACTGACCACTGTGAACATTTGAACGAAGTCTTACGTCAAACTTCGTGCATAATATAAATGTACCTATATCCCGTTAGCGAAGTACACTTCTTTGTTGTTGAAGATATTATGAAAACAGGTGAGAAATGTAAGTCTTAGTCTTTCAATAGTAGGCACGTAATAGTATAGAACCAGGCGCGGACTGGTAAAAAAGGGCGAGGGATGCTACATAATTTAAAGGGCAAATAAAACAAATTTTAAACAATAGGTTATTTATAAAATATTTAAACATTTTCTTTTGTTTAAATAAAATATTGTAAATACGTTAAAAATGTAAATAGGCGTGCCAAATTACAACAGCAAGGCAAAGTTAAGCAACGGCAAACTTAAGGGTCAGTAAATTGTGATTAATTTTTGCCCCCCCCAACCCCAACCCCCGCCCCATAACAATTAGAGCTAAGTTCCTCTTATAAAGATTGTGTTAATAATAAATTAAGAAAGTATATTTAATGTATATAAAAAGCTGCTCAAACAAATTAAACCTATCTTCTTATTGGCTACCTACCTACTTTAAATGTATTCTTTTTTCTTTATGATTGTTATAGTTATTACTTATTAGTTATTACATAAATAATAGATCTACATCTACCTACGATTTTATCAGAGAATTTTAACCTTCTCCTTCAAAATTCAGATTAACTTTAGGTGGGCACATTTATACCGATAGGGGCAAATATATTTTAGGGCAAGGATGCTGTAGCATCCCAGCATCCCAGTCAGTCCGCGCCTGTATAGAACAGTTCTATTAGAACTAGTCTTGAATTATTCTTCTACGGCCCGTTTCCCGTGGACAAATATTGTTAAAATAAATTACATGTTCATAATAATGATATATTACATCATTATAAAAATCAAAAATACCAAAGTATGTAGGTAATTTTTAGTTGTGTTTGTAAACTATTCTTAAAATCCAAGTTAAAGAAGATAAATGCATTACATTATTATTTTCAATTAATTTTCATTATGCAAACAAATTAATGGATTTAGGTATAAGTGATTATATTTGTTTAATGTAGGTAGGTACTATAAACCTTTCGTTTAAAAAAGGCATGTTTACCTAAGTTTAGCATGGAGGTTCTGTTGGGCCAAATAATTAACCCAGACCTAGTTTTAATCATCGTATTTCAGGGGGATTAATATGTGCAATTTAAAATACCTTCTGAAAAATATAAACCTATTACCAGCAACGGATTGGATAAATACGTTCTGGCAGATTCGGTATTTTATGAATTCCAGAATTTATACTCTCAGTCCATTTATTTTCTGGACGAATACGATCTTCTGGGATCGGATGTCTACAGCTCCAGGGGGGCGGCCCCCTTCCAAGCCTGTATTTCTAAAAATTGAATACTGTTAAAAACGAAATTTCAATAAAAACCTTTTATAATATCGAAAGTTTTCTGAAAATATTATGACTAGGGCCCTTACCTAACCAACCAATCATATCATATATCTGCAGCCGTCACTTGATGTCTAGGTATAATAATGGCCATATAATAACATAAAAAATGACCAGACATCTACAGAATTGCCCATGACGTATTAAAATAACCAAATGAAAATATGCCCAATGTTAGTTTTTCAAATCGCATTTTGCTTTACTTAAAGATATTGGATCAATAAGTGTCTTATAATAATCAACGTGTTACAATAATATTATTTATAATAACGATAATATTGAACCTTATACTCAGTCACAAGTCGCTACAAAATGCTAAAATTCTTATGCATTCCGACTGTAGTACCGAAGTACCGTCTATACTCTAGTAGTCTAGTGTATACGATACCAAATTTCATATATAGCTAACGTAAAATAATATTATTAAATAATAAAGTACTACATTTATAAAAAATATGAATAGCTCAGGATTATTAATATTGTTGAAGGCTACTATCATAGTCACTACTATAGACCTCTAAAATGTGGGTTGCAATATAATTGTAAATACGTTACAGAGCCGTCGAGGGCTCCCCCATTACCAAAATTACACGATCTTACAAACGAGTTAAAAATCTACTATAGTAAATATTTGAAAACTTTTTATACACATTTTAACACACTTCAAATTAATGATAAGAACAAATACTTGTAATATGTATAGTACTATTTTTATTTATACATAAATATTTGACTGATCAATTTATGGGATGTTATCTGACACAGGTAACGAGTGTTACCTTTTTATACACAGTCCACCATGGCACCATATCATAGTAACATCTATTTAGTGCTTTTATACGTGACCTATTGGCTAAAATTAGTTCATAAGCAATCCACTTTTCCATAAATATGAATTGTCTATAGGAATATGTAAAAAATTATAATGAATTAGATAATATAGTGATCAAAATGATTTTAATTTGTTTTTTGGTAAATATTTCATAATTCGAAACATAAAATTGATGGTATTTAACTATAGTAATATGAGTTAGATCTAAAAAACAAGAGATGCTATATTCGATTTTGGGGATGCTAAAGACACCCTTGCAAGGCTCCTGGTTTATTGTTGCATATCAGTTGAAAAATATTAAAAATACACAGCAACGATTTTAGTTATAAGCATTTATAATGTTCACATTTTGACAAAATGTATCAAATTAAAAATAATAAATGACAAATATCAAATTATTTCATAGTTAAATATTTATAAAATGCACAACTTATCCTTACCAAGGACCAAAAATGTAAAACAAAGTTGCACACAGTTTTTTTTATAGTTATTTTTTGTTTAAAGTAAGACGAGTATATATATACTCGTAATATAATATTATAAATATTAGTTGTTACGCATTACTAAATAACTAAGAATAAATTATTTAAGTTATTTTGTTGTAATTTAAAATATTATTTGTGGGTTCCTATTTGAAACTTTTAAAGTATATTATTATATATTATACACACAATGGCATAAAATCAAATCTTTTTAGTAAAAATGAATTTAACCTGTAGGTGTTAACTACAATAGTAGTACTAATGCTTAATAGTAAAATTAATTACTTTAATCACAATAATATCATCAAATATACTATATAACTAAGTAATATTATAGACTGCAGACGGACCAGTATTCGCTCAGTATCATTTTTCGTATACAACAATTGTACATCATTTAATTCAAATTAAAAACCATCCATTACAGTGATCTACTAGTAACCTACTGTACAGAGCGACATCCACTTATCCACTTTTTTGAACATGGATACATTTTATTTAATGTTTTCTTAAGTAATTTTTACCGACTACCTGGGACAGGTGATAAAGGGGAAACAGAATATTATAAACTTCCCTGCGTAATGGTAATTATGGTTTTCGTTTTTTACCTCTTAAAAATATGTATATTATGAAGGACATAGCACACTACGCTCCCGTTTTACAAAGACGTCGATTACCAAAAGGTTCAAGTTTTTTCAACACAATTTCTTTCCCACTTCATACAGACTTAGGACTGTTTCAAAAGAGGCGTGGTTAAGAATGCGTAGGTGTTTTTAAAATTGTATATAATAAATAAATTATAAAAAATATACAAAAAAATCATATATATTATTTCTTAACTGGAATTAAAAATCAAAAAATATATAAATATAAAAACCATATCGTTGGTAAATTTGGATGAAACCTTTTCGAAGGGAGCTGTTTAGAAATACGCAAACAATGGGCGGGAACCGTTTAGGATGCACCAATTATGAAAAAAAAAAACAGGAGAAGTCGTTCAACTGTCTAGTTATAGATTTTGAATGTACCTCGACTTTGAATAAGTAACTACCTATAACTGATAAATCTGAGTTTAATGGATAAATCATTACAGCGGAGACGTGTGGATCATCATCTATTTCTTAGGATATTGTATGTTCTATCTTATATTATCAATTTAACATAAATATTTTATTCATACAATAAATTTGTCTGAAATTCGCCTATATAATATTGTGTATAATTCAAAGTTAATACCGGAGTACCAAAGAACGGCGTGAATAGGTTCGCACATGTTATAAATACCTACCTAAGAATTAGTCTAAATATATTGGAAATTTAATTGTATACCCAAATAAAATAATAATAGTAATAATATCCATAGCGACAAAAAGTTTCAAGTCTCTTCAATTGATATTTTTTGAATAAAAAAAATTTTAATCCATAGAAGTAAAATCGTTAGGTTAGGCTAACACAATATTATGCGTTGGTATTTTTCGGTTGCTGAAAGAACAACTAACGAGGAAAGTTGATCAATTTATTTGACCGAGAAATCTAAATCAACATTAAAATAAAAGAAAAAAGCAGGAAAGTAGATGTCGCTCTGCTGCACAGTGTAGGTTACAAGCGCGTCACTGTAATGGATGGTGTTAAATTTAAATTCAATGATATAAAATCATTGTATACAAAAAAAGATTCTGAGAGAAGGCGGTCTATAATATTACTTAGTAATTTAGTATATATTTTTATGATATTATTGTGATTAAAGTAATTTATTTTACTAGTAAGCATTAGTATTATACGTAGTAGATTAAATTCATTTTTGTTAAAAAAAATACAACTGAAAAGTCATTGTACGTATAAAATATAATAATATACTTTAAGAGTTTCAAGTATAGGTACCCAGTACCCACGAATAATGTTCTTCATTTACAACAAAATAACATAAGTCATTATTAATGGTTACTTAGTATGTAATTTCGTCCATATTTGAACATAAACAA